TATAATTATTTATACAACAATTAAGTCTGTGGCTCTTTGAATCCATTGTCTGGGTGACTTGATCTAATCTGGTAAGAATTTATTGGTTCTTATTAAAATGGAACTAAATCAGAAACATTAGTGGTTATGAAATAAAGCCAAATAAATGTTCTCATAGGGTGTAATAATTTGAGGATTCTTCTCAAACCACATATTTGCTTTTCCTCACTTGAGATTATATATTCTCCATTTACAGGTATTTAACAAACTGTGTATGAACTAGGCATATTAGCATGATTTAGCCTAAGGATGCTAGACAAATTTAGATATTTTTTTTTCAAGTATCATGGTAAAAGATGATGGACAAAAATGGAAAGAATATTAAGGTAGAAAATATATAATTTTATCATCATTCATTTAGTTGTTAATTGAATCAATTAAAAGCAGTGCAAACCTTGGGAAAATCAATGATAAGCACTTCTCGGTTACTATGAGGTTTGCAATTAACAATAGTTATTTCTCATCCCAAAAATGCAGCCAAAATTTCAGCTTGATTTAGCAAACGTATTAGCTACTTGTTATTCAGAACTCAAAGTCTCCTACTTTCTACACCAAACTGGCTCCTGATACTACATCTTAAATATAAGTAATTGCCTATTGGTTGAAAGGAATACTTGCTAACAGTACACATTAAAAGATAATTCTTGTTTCAGTTTCCAGGACTGGTTTCTAACAATGAGTCATTTCTTTAATATCATATGCATTATTTTAGTATTGTGAGATTAAGGTATTCAACTTCTTTTTGAGTCAGAAAGTTTATTTTCTGCAGTGAAGGGAGAGGGCATTTATCCATCTTTCATGTTATTTTTCCTGAGTAAGATTCAAACAGCTTTCTTATCCATCTTAATCTCTCTTAATCAGGGGATAATTTTGACCTGACTATACAGACACATCACAGCATTTCCAATGTATATATTCAATGATGCAATCTTCGATCTCCGGGAAGAGTATACTCCAGTTATTTATTGTTAAAACCACATTTAAAACAATAAAAACAGTTATATACAAAAATTAAAACAACTTAGCTTTCGCTGGTCCTCTGCCCCACTCTGAGGACGCTGGCAGAGGACCAGCGAAAGCTAAGTTGTTTTAATTTTTGTATATAACTGTTTTTATTGTTTTAAATGTGGTTTTAACAATAAATAACTGGAGTATACTCTTCCCGGAGATCGAAGATTGCATCATTGAACAAATATGCCCGGGATTCGTATTTTTATAACCATTAAGGATATATATATATGTACATACAAATACCTGTGAAAACCTCAGAAAACATATATATATATATATATATATATATATATATATATATATATATATATATATATATATACATACATTCAGAAAAATAAATGGTATATATTTGTGTGTCTAATTTTCAAGCTGAGGATACTATTTCACTCATTTGAATTCACAGCAATTATTTTATGGCATTCCAAGCATTTATTAGCAGTCAATTATTCAAAGGTATAAAAAGTCATGCATGAAATTAAAAAAAAAAATGTAGGACAGGAGTAAATTTAAAAAAAATCTGCATAATAACAAATACTATGCTGCTCTCTACTGGAAGAGAAAGGATTACATGTCTTATTTATCTGGTTTAATTGTTTAAAACAGTTTTCAGAATGAATTTAATCAAGTTCTGCAGTTTTTAGTATGAACATGGAAAGCTATAATGTTGTGAACAATAATGTATGTGAGTTGTTGTTTACATCCATTGGCTCAACAAGATCTGTCCTGAATAAAGGAGAAAAACAATATGGAAATATAGAAACAATTTCAGTACTGACTATGTATGCATTTGACACCCTCTAACTTTGTTGCAGTGTTACTAGTACACATTTAGGGCTAAATGATCTATTTGTCAAGAGCGAATCTCTTTCTATTTTCTACTTTGAATTTTTCAGAGTAGTATGATGTTGCAAATAAGTGATTCCAGTATCTGAAGAAGGGAGAGGGGTTCAAAATTAGTAAAAATGAAATGATTATAAATGTTATTGAGTACTTTTATTTTTATCCTACATCTCACCAGTTAAAAGATAAATGGGCTCAAGTATCATGACTTCTTGGGAGTGATCTTAATATATACTTTCTAAATTATTAAAATAAAAGTGCAATGTTGTGTTATGCCCCTAGAACTTGCTAATAGTCTCAGTGCTAATATTTTTTCAAAGATTTTAAGGACAATTATATTATCCACTACTTGGCCATAATAGTGTTGGCTGCATTAAAATTAAATTATTTTCCAGTAAACATATGTTTTTCCACTTGAAAAAACAATTGTAATTCTGACTCGGTATCCAAATTACTCATTTAATGTGGCTTTATTATGGGAGGCTAGTTTATAAATCTACATGTTTAAACTATGCTTCCTTTTTTGATCACTTTTAAACAATTTGAAAACAAATTTTTACACCATTCCAGATTTATTGGTGATTGTTTTATAATGTGCTATAAAAGTTTGTTGTTTCTTAGCAGTTTTATTTTAATTAAAGGTTTATTGTTAAACAATGGGGTATAGCTAATAAGAAGATATGCGTTTATGGTTTTTGTGTGTGTGTTTATGTGTGTGTGTGTGTGTGACAGAAAGAGAGTTTTTTCAGATAAAAGTATTGATTATAAGATATATTGGGGGTAGCAGGGTGTCTAGCTTTCCAAGTATTGCTAAGCTGCAGTTCTCTCCAGTCCTAGTTAGCCTGACTAATGGTGAAGAAACTGGAAGTTACAGCTCAGCACAAGTTACTCACTTCTGCTTTGTTTGGTCTATTAAACTACTGTAAAATTAATCTGCTAACTTTAAGCAAGTAGCTCAAATACTTTTGAGCACAGAAGTGATATTTTCTGTACTTGCAAATGTGTTTAAAATTCAGTAGTTATATCCTTGTAATGCAAACTCACAGATTTAAATCCCGAAGAATGTTCAATATGGTCAGGTTCTCTATCCACTATGGCAGATATAGGGACAAGAACCCACCTGCAGGAAGTGAAAAGTATTAGTAAAAACGTAGTTCTCAACCTATGAAGAAGCCAAGAATAATGAGGCAACCCAGCTTTTCTTTTTCATAAATAAATTTGTAAGTCCCTTTGTAAGACATCTAAGTGATGATATGTGTAAGTATTAAATATTCAAAATAATTGCCTTGAAATGTTATTACTAACACATGGCTGTTATTGCTGATATTTCTCCTACACTGATATTTTTAGTATTGAACATGATTTCCTTTGCAACAATATTTAAGTATTTTGCTTTTCATTTCCCTGTCTAGTCCATAGCCATGGGGTTCCCATTTCTCATTCAAGTATAATCAGTCCATGCCTTCTTAATTTTTCAAAAGTTTAGCAATTTTTTTCCTTAAATTATCCCAGATCACCCAACTAACAAGTTTTCTCTCTATTTTTCTGAACGTCGCCTAATAATGGGAGGTCCGAGAGATATAAGCTTATTATAGGTTCAGCATTGCCCTTATGGCCAGTAATGAAGTGTGACTTGATTTGCAGAGCAGTTTTCAGTAAGAGCTATACTTCCAGTGACCAGGTAACAGTGAGCATACATCAAAGAGAGAAAGCCTATCAATTCCTGATGCCTTACACTCTTTGAGCAAAATTCACAGCTCACAGTAGCCTTCTCCAAAAAGGTAGAGAAATTTCTGTTGCAATAAGTACAGGACATTCTTTCACTGCAGCAGGAAGGACTTCATTGTTCTCACTGCATGGGCTAATTTTTATTTTATTTTTTGGTGGGGGGAGAGAAGCATACTTGAGCTATAAGTTCATGTGTTTGATGCAAAAGAATGCTTTGCATTCTACTTACAGCACTTCTTCCTATAAAAATGCATAATGTCCATGGCAGAGATAGTCCAAACGGTTTTCTTTTTGAACACCATTTGTATCAAGAGAAAGTTCTATAGTAAGCAATGGTAGTAGCCTTTAGGCTTATGTACCACCCCATAGTGCTTTATAGCACTCTCTGGGCAGTTTACAACAATCTGGGTCCTCATTTTACTGACTTTGGAAAGGTGGAAGGCTGAGTCAACCTTGAGCCCCATCAGGATTGAACTCCAGACTGTGGATAGAGTTTCCCTGCAATACTGCACTTTAACTTCTGTGCCACCAGGGCTCACTATGATGGTGATTGCCAATCTTTGTGCAAATTCAGAGACATAAAAAAGCAGCACATTATATTAGCTCCTATTATGGCCATCTCATCTTTATTACCATCTAGTCTACATAGCTAGGAAATATTAGAAGCATAAAATGTGAATGGCAAGTGGGTGTATATAGCCTCGGGTTTATGCCAAAGCATATCACATAATCCTTTTTGCATCCACTGCAAAATTTCTGCATGAGTTGTTCAGCATGGCCCGTCATTGATTAACTCAGTGCAGCAGTTCTTATCTTCTGAAATGAATAACAATTGTTTAAATGAAATGTCTACATTTCTACAAGTCAGCATTACTATAAGCCACTACAATGGTATTGCTGAATGCTGCTTGCATTTTATCTTAATTCTGAATGTCTGTTCCAAAATAAATGTAATAAATTCTGTTACAACACCATAATTTATGATGAGGTTTTGCCCTAAATACAATGCTAGCCCATCATATTTCTCATTTGTCAGTGTTGTGATTCATTGCAAGTTGATAATATTAGAAATATTAAATTGTGGGCAGAGTCTGAAACATTTTTGTAAATATTGTGGCAGGTCATTTGTGGTTGAAATTTTTCTTCAGTAAGGGTTAGGATTTCTCCAAGTTTGGCTTACCAGGGGAGGCAATTATGTGCAGTACCGGTCAAAAGCATATTCGATGAAAGAAAAAGATGTCCCATTAAGTAAAATATTTCAGTTTAACCCAAATTTGTCTTTCTGGTTTAAAATCATACAGAAATAAATTATTGGTCAGTTAAAACACTGATTAGCTATTTCAAAGACTTAAAACTTTTTCTCACAAATTACATTTCAGTTTCTTGGCAGTACAGAAGTGGAGCAGCCCAAAGGTACAGAGGTTGTAAGAGATGCTGTGAGAAAACTTAAGGTAAGGACATCTTTAAAATACAATATTTATTTTTTAAAAAAAACATGTCTAGGTTGTAAATGTGTGTCTGTAACTGAAGTACATTGTAAGAGCCAATGTGAGTCGGTCACTGGGACCACAGGTTTATTTTTCCAAGTTTTCAAATTTGTGCTGGAGCCCATTTTCAGGGAACTTCTCTCTCTCCAGAATGAAGACACATTCTGGAGACAGAGAAGTTCCCAGAGGATGAGTCTAGAACAAGTCCGAAAGCTTGGAAGAATAAACCTTTGATCCCAGTGACCGACTCATATGGGATGCTACAATATTGTCCTGGGACATGTGTATTTACATCCAAATAATAAAGAATCTGTATTGGCATCAGGTAGCAAATGTGAGACTAGGCCAAAAATACTCAGCTGATGCAGAAATAAGAAGAGGGGTCAGACAAGGATGTATTCTGTCTCCACTGTTGTTCAATATCTCCTCTGAGTCAATCTTCAATGAGGCACTGAAGAACATTGATGCTGGCATCAAAGTAAACAGTGTTTGAATCAACAACTTAAGATACGCTGACGATACAGTTCTGCTTGCCAGTAAGCATGAAGACCTTCAGTTCCTCATCAACAGAGTCACAGAAATATCTGAAAAATACGGCTTGAAACTTAACACCTCAAAAACCAAGATCATGGTCATCAGCAAACAACCCATTAATTTACCACCAATAAATTCAGAAGGAATAACACTAGAAAAAGTTGAAAGGATCATACACCTCGGTTCCAATTTACATGAAAACTGGGACATCACTGTTGAAGTAAAGACAAGGATAGAAAAAGCTCGAACAGCATTCTTGAAAATGAAAAAGGTCTTCTGCAGTCACGACATAAGCCTGAAAATCAGGCTTGTCAGATGCTATATTTTTCCTATCCTGCTCTATGGAGTAGAGAGTTGGTCTCTGACAGAATGCCACCTGAAGAGACTAGAAGCATTTGAAATGTGGATTTACAGGCGGCTGTTACGTATAAGCTGGGTTGACAAGATCAGAAATGAGGAGGTGATAAGCTGCCTGGGAAAGCCAAGGGAAATCATCAAAACAATTAAAAAACAAAAATTAGAATATTTCGGACATGTGATGCGACACCCAGAAAAATACAGCATACTCCATTTAATCCTCCAGGGAATGATTGAAGGCAAATGAGGTCCAGGCAGGAGAAGAACATCAAGGCTTCAAAATCTAAGGAAGTGGTTTGGATAAAACTCAGCAGCACTTTTTCGTGCGGTTGCTGATAAAAACAGGATCGCCAACATCCGATAATGGATATGGCACAAGAAGAAGATGTATATTTACCTTTATTCTCAAAGTACATTGTGTTCATTTTCAAAATATTAATACTGGATTTTTTTAATAGTGTAGGTATGTTCATAGCCCTTATTTAAACTGTGGAATCACCAAATCTCTGTTTTTTATTTTATTTTATTCTCTCTATCCCAACATACAGAAAAACTTGCTAACAAAGCAAAGTTCATTGCAGCAAATAGGATCAAATAAGAATTCTTCCCTCCAATAGAAATATCTCAGTTAGGACTCTGGGCAAGAATGGTGATTGAAATCTCAGTACATTGGTAATTCATATACAATCCCTCCTTTTGTGAATAGCATTGCATCTGTTTAATTCCTCTAATATGGATGTACTTTAATGACATGGACAGCATTCAGTATGGGGAAGGGATCATATATTCCACATTCTTGCAAGGAATAACATAATTTGATCCCAGACAGCAGTTAGAGAAGCTATAAAAAGGGATTCATCTTTTGCCTTTTCAGCTATTTTTCATCTCCCGTTTCTTCCTCTTCCTGACACTGTTCTAGGGATTCCTACTGAAAAGCAATAATTGAGCTGGGGATCAAATTTCAGAGTCTGGTCATCTTTATAAACCTAATTTATTTTCCCATGTAACAGTGGGTAAAAGTCTGGGCAAAAATTAATTTATTTTAAATCTTCTATTAAAATGATCAATGAACATCACACTATCCATCTTTTTACCTATCTTTAAAAATGAAAGCTTTGCTGTGGATAATTTACAGCATTGGTATAATATCGTATAATATTCCTCTATATATTTCTAAAATATATTTTCTGAAAATGAATTTAATTTCTCAGGGGTCTGAGAAGTTCTTTCCTTTGTTAGGAAGCTCGGATGTGTCTCTTAGAGAAAGAGGCGTTAATTTTTCAGACTCGGTAAGGTGTACCTTCTGTCTCAGGTCAATGAGCTCTGTCATTGGAAGCGTACTCTTAGCTATCTTGGGATCATTGTTATCAGACATCTCTTATTAAATGTGAGTCCCTTAGGGTCCAATTATTTGTGAAAGTAGCGAATTCTTCTTCTACATGAGCTATCAGAGAGAAATCTACTTTGATTTTTATAGTCTGAAAGGGAACATAATAAAGCACTATTTTGGTGGAGATAGGGGATAGAATATGGAGTGCATACTGTTGAGCAATTAATTGCTGCAGCCTATTTATCACTTGAAAAAAATAACCGTGGGAATTTTTATAGATAAAACAACTTATGATGTCAGGATATTAGCCTTCAACCTAAGTGCTTCAAAACCACCTTTGTTTGTAATAATTTTAATGGACACACATACTGTTATTTATATGTAAATCCTTTCTAAATTATACTATGTTAGTATTTAGCTTAGCATTCAGGATTATAAGCAAGCATGGATTAGGGGGTTAGAGTATCTAACCCATCCACGACAATGGAAAAGTCTTTCAACATCCATAAGTCACTTTTTATAGATGTGCAATTATTATTCCAGTAATCAAATCCATAATCCAATAACCCATTTTTTTTTGTATCTATTAGATAAATGTAGATCCAGCTTATTGTTGGAAATGTGGATTTCAAAAATGCAGCACTGATACTTATGATGTAGTCTTGTGCTGTAGTGGCTCCTTTTTGGCTAGCAGTTATTTTAAAAATTAATTTTGGTTTGGAAAATTGTTTAGCTTTTGTAGATGCACATGGGATTTTTTTTTTCTACACTATATGCTGGATAACGGCAGGGTAAAGAAAATGTCCATTGCTTACTTTTTCAGTGGCAAAAAGATTGATTGCAAAGATGAAAGACATATATTCTCTGTCAATATAAAGTTGACTGAAGAGCTTTCAAGGGCAACTTCAGCAAGATTCTGCTGTTGGAAACATCCTCTTGACTGTTCTTCTATTCTAGCCTTCTCTTTTGAATATCTTGTTTCCTGTGCTCCCTTTTACTTATTTATTTTTCTCCCTACTCAGTCTACCTGACAATGTAAACAAATTTCTTGTAAAATATTATATAAACATATGTATAGAATTAACTGAATAGTTTCCAAGTGATGAACATACAGGTCAATTCTTTGTTTTTCTCTTTTTTTCCCCATTTTGCAAACAGTTAAAAACACTGAAAAGTCATAATTACAATATAATAAATAATCATTTATTCAAAACACTAAAGCAGTGGTTCTCAACTTGTGGGTCGGGACCCTATTTGGGGTCAAACGACCATTTCATGGGGGTCGCCAAACAATGCAGTCCCCATTTTTCCCCCTTTTCCTTAGCTGTGCTACTCCCTTTTATTCTATTGGCTTTTGAAAGCGAATAGAATAGACTCTCTTGAATAGAGTCTAATTCTATTGGCTTTCAAAAGCCAATAGGAATTGTCCAGGCTGTCTCTGCCCTGCTGAGCCCGCCAAAAGTCCTATTCTGCAAACGGTGCTGCACCAGTTGAGTAGTCCTCGACTTACGACCGGTTGAGTAGTCCTCGACTTACGACCGGTTGGGGGTCACGGCATTAAAAAGGTTGAGAACCACTGCACTAAAGGTTAATTGTGTGACATGCAGTTGAACCAACATTTCCTGCAGGTTTTAAAAAGTTATGTATCTGTCATTAACCTCTATTTGCAGCACAATAATCTATCAGGTTTGGGGAAGATTGTCCCAAGGGAAAGGGATCAGAACAGAGAAGATCCTTTTGCAGGCTCCTACTTCATCCATCCTAGAGGAAGGGGATTTACATCATGTCAACTTTGCTAGTTTGTATTCAGTGGGCAGCTTCTATAAGATAGATAAGTCATATAAAGTTTTATAAGTAACTATCAGCTTCCTGAGGTGGTCTTGGAAGCAAACGTATAACATGATCACAAACTGCAACATCATACTGTATAATCATGGTGACCTACAATAGCAGTTGTGGCAGTCTCAGTTGCCATTGTTAGGCAAACCCCATGTGGTTGCAGCATCCCATGGTCATGCGATCACCATTTGTGACCTCCTGCCAACTCCCATTGACTTTGCTTGTCAAAAGCCAGCAGTTAGGACTCCAAAGACTGATCACATGATCACACAACATCGTGACGGTCATAGTTGCAAGCTGATTTCCAAGCACTCAAAAAACATTACTATGGGGATGCAGCAACAGACCCAGTTATAAAGAAGTAAATCCCCTCATTCAGTGTCATCATAACTGTGAATGGTCACTGAATGAGGTGGTCCTTTACTGAGGACTACCTATATTCCCATCCAGAGTCAATGATGTACCTGTTCAGGAAAGCTTCTGAATCACCAGCTCTCATGTCTTATCAGGATTGATTCTAAATATCTTTCTCCCCAAACTCCCAAGCTTTGAAACAGTAGGTCAACATTTATAGAGTACTCTGTTAAACTTTTCTTTCCCTAGACTGCATCATTCAGGAGTTTCTATAATTGTTATCACATTCTCATCTTCAACACTTTCCCCAGAAAGGGAAGGATTTTGAAGGGAAAGATTTAGATGGACAGAAGTTGTTCATATTGGCTAGATCAGTGATGGCAAACCTTTTAGAGACTGAGTGCCCAAAAACCGCCCTGCCCCATCCTGTCCCAGTTCCACCCCATCCCAGCTCGTCTGCCCCCCGCCCACCCGCAAGGCCACCCACCATCTCCACAGCCTGCCACAGATTGCCCAGCAGTGCCATGGCAGCCATGCCTTCCGCCTGCACCCTGCAGCATCAATTGTGCGTGATGGGGTGTGAGGGCAGAGTCTTGTCCCCGCTGTCCAGCTGCCATGTCCTTGGCTGTGCTGCTCCGTGTGGGCCACACTCAGGGCAACTCTCCTCTGGGGGGACTGCTGATGGGGGGGGCTGTGGGAGGAGGTGGGGCTGGGGCAACAGTGCGCATAATCAGAGAGAGGGCTCTGAGTGCTGCCTCTGGCACACATGCCATAGATTCACCACCACTGGGCTAGATCAAAGATTAAGGTTTTGTAGAAGTGACGCATGGTTGCATGCACTTTCAAGGAAGCCATTCACCACTTCTCAGATCCATTCACTTTCTGGCCACAAAAAAGAGCCAGAAAAGGAAAGGATCCAACCCACAAAGTCAGACCTCATGGCATAGAGAACTTTCATCACAAGCACAGGTAAAACCAACCTACAATGAAATATAACCCTAATCAACGCCACAGTCTGTCAAGACAGCATGCAAATCCAATTAAATAAAATCCGATACAACTTTATTTTAATATCCCTTTAAATGGAATAATAGAAAGTGACCTAAATAAAAGTGCTAGTGGTATTCGTAAAACTATTACTGTTTTGTACAACTCTTATGAAACTCAGCTGGATGACTTTGGGCCAGTCACTCTCTCTTAGCTCAATCTACCTCACAGAGGTATTGTGGGAAAAATAGGAGAATGAGGATTATGTAGGTTTGCTGCCTTGAGTTACTTATAAAAATAATGAAGGCTATATATAAAATAAAAACAAAGAAGATCTACATTTGGGCAGTAAACCCAGATGCTTAGGTTATACTATATAGTGTATATTATTAAGAAGAAGGTGTCGGTTAATCTAATAACAAAAGTGAATCTCAAATATTATGGAACTTTTCTTGTATGTGTTTGAACTCTATGGGCCAATTTATGTTTGGCAATACTTGTATACATGGTTGCATGGCTGGAAGACCACAGAAATTGGGAAAAGGATATGTAAAGATTTGAACTGTTATCTTAAACTTTAGAGTTAATAATCTTGGACCTGGGGATGCAACTGAAGAAAAAAGCACAAAAATTGGTTTGTGTTACAAGTAACTCTTTTTGGATTTTCTAAATTAGAAAATAAAAGGAAATTTCAATTAAATTAAAAGCATAGAACTTTATTAATAGAAGGAAATTAATTATAGTTCTATGGTCAATTTATATGTTTCATCATTTTTACCTTTTTAAAAACTATTTAGTGCTTTTGGACTTTTTATCCACTTAAAACACCTGTTTCAATAAAGGCCATGATGCTTCAAAGAGCTGAACGCGTATCAAGAGATGCTTACATGTTCTTCACTTCTGTTAAAATGGCTGTGAAATTTTGCATTTGCTGAAGCATTGTTCAGTTGTGAGTGATTATGTTTATAATTAGGGATGTCATAATCCCTTATAATTAATTTAATTCCACAATCAGAGATAAACAAGTTAAATATATAAAAATGTGATGTTTCCCTCATTTACACTGTGCATTTTTATTTTTACCAGTAGGTGGGGCTGGTGTTCCACAGCAAAAAAGAGTCTGAGGAAAAAATAAGTTTTTTTCAATTTCTTTACCAAATTTTAATTTATCTCTAATAATTAACATTTCAGTTACTATATTGCACCATCCATTGCTTGGTTCCTTGAAAAGTTTCATTGCATAATCTATAATCCTCCTGCTGGAGTATTCAGTTTTACTTGGAATACTTTCTATTTTTTTCTGTACATAAAGATTTTTTTCTATGTATTAAACAGAATATAAATCATAAAAATCAGGGGGCCATAGATGATCAGAGTGTAGTAGTTCAATAAGTGTTTCCAAAGTACTCCATCTTTCTGAAGTAATATTTTCCATAATTTTAAATATTAAATACCTGAAACAGGATATCTAAAAAGTACAGAATGGCACATCGTCTAGCCCACAGATTTAGCCCAGTTAAAGGGATACATTTTCAATCTACCACAGGTATAGACAAATGGGAATTCTCCAGATGTTTTATACCACAGATTCCATCACCTTTCTGGGACTGTTCAGAAATGTAGTCCAAAACAGCTGAAGGAGACTTGATTACCTCTAATTTCTTTTTCTTTGCTGTTTTGCTGTTCTGCTATCATTCAGAGACAACTTTCAGAAATGGGAGGCTGATATGTTGCATTCCCTCCCTTTTCCAAATGATTTTTTCTTTGCAGTATCAAAGACTGAGGTAACATTTCTGCATCTTGTTTTACTTTCCACTACTTAAGGGAAAGGCTGGGAAAATAAATCAGCTTCAAAAGATAATTGGAAACAATGGAACAGGATCACTAATAATAATTTAGCATCAGTTGTAACATCAGCTTTCCTTTGTTGGTAATTAATATAGGATGTTGTAACATCTATGACATTAGAACATTTTTGTACTTTATTAAATTTTGGGAAACATTTTCTACAACAGAACTCTGTCAGTACAATCTTTCTTATATACCAGACTATAAGATAACGTTTGTTTTTGTACTGTTCCACTACAACTCAGCAATTGGTGTAAGCCAGTGGTTCTCAACCTGTGGGTCGGGACCCCATTTGGAGTCGAACGACCATTTCACGGGGGTTGCCAAACAACACAGTCTGCCATTTCCCCCCCCCCCCTTTTCCTTAGCTGTGCTACTCCCTTTTATTCTATTGGCTTTTGAAAGCCAATAGAATAGACTATCTTGAATAGAGTCTAATTCTATTGGCTTCCAAAAGCCAATAGGAATTGTCCAGGCTGTCTCTGCCCTGCTGAGCCCGCCAAAAGTCCCATTCTGCAAACGGTGCTGCACCAGTTGAGTAGTCCTCAACTTACGACCAGTTGAGTAGTCCTCGACTTACGACCGGTTGGGGGTCGCGGCATTAAAAAGGTTGAGAACCACTGGTGTAAGCCCAATTCTAAGCATAGGAAAGTAAATTCGGCACTGATTAATTACTAAATTACAGAGACAGTGTTACAGAGGAAATAAACAAATTGAAAGAAAACTCTGGTGACTATGGAGATGGTCTTAAAGTTGGAATTCAAAAGTCTAGGTAAACACAGGTTGTCCCTGGAAGGGAAAAATAGGTGGGAAAGAAACTCAAGATTGTCCCACCTTGATTTTCTTTTTTGGGGGGGAGGGAGGGAGGGAGGGAGGGAAGGAGGGAGGGAGGGAGAGAGAGAAAGAGAGAGAGAGAGAGAGAGAGAGAGAGAGAGAGAATCACTATCAGGTTTGCAAGATTGTGTTGTTATACTCTTTAACAGAGTTCGAGTAACTCCCTTCTCTAGAGAATCATCTATGGGGACCTTGGAGTGCCTTCTCTGTAGCTACCAATGCCTTTGAAATAGTCTTCCACTTGAAATTAGGGGACCCTACATTTTTACCCTTTCAGAAGGTCACGAAGATCTGGCTCTTCCTGCAAGCATGGAGCCAGGATGGGATTAAGTCAAGTCGTGACTAATGTATCTTGTTATGGTTTCCTGATGGGAAGACTACAATATATAATATGTTTCTATTGACTGCTAGGGCTTTTATAGATGCCTAGAATCACTATGAGATAGGTAGACATATAAGTTCTTTAAATAAGAAAAGAAGAGCTGACAGATTAAAGCTAACAAATTATCTGTTATAAAGTCTGTTGAAGTTCTGATTCATCTGAAGAACATAGAAATGGCCTGACCAATCATTTCTTCTGTCTAGCAGATCTTGATTGGTTCCTTAATATCCCAGTGATATCTGACTTCTGTATAGACATTCTCATCTATTGCCAAGATTATATTCATGAGGATCATCTATCCAGAATGCAACGGGAGATCTCCCATTCTCTCCTTTTTTTGGAGACACTTCGCCAACCAGAATTTGCTCTCTGGCTCCTGATCTCTGCCACAATTACATTCGTGTGTGTGTGTGTGTGTGTGTGTGTGTGTGTGTGTGTGTGTGAGAGAGAGAGAGAGAGAGAGAGAGAGAGAGAGAGAGAGAGAGAGAGAGAGAGAGAGAGAGTTTGGGGAAAAAGTGGTTGGGAATAGACAAACTAGATAATGGTATGAAAAATGAAATTTAAGTCCGTGGAAGGAATGTGGATGTGACAAACATCTCAGAAGGGACTCTCCCAAGTAAAAGTGGGAAGATGGTGGTGGTAGAAGATGTATTTTGAGAGTTGCAAGATTCTTAGAATAAAGAATGTTAGAATAAAGTAGAGCCAGTGCTTTTTTTCTAAAAAAAAAAAAAAAGTGCCGGAACTCACACACGTCATACAACCCGCCTTGCCTACCCTATAAGGTTACATCCAAAAAAGGTGCCGGAACTCCGTTCTGGGCGTTCTATGAGAAAAAAGCCCTGAGTAGAGCTAATATTTCTGGGTGTGTTTGTTGTTTGGACTACCTTGCAAGGCTGACATGAAGCTTCAATGTATCGAGTCTCCTTGATAGTTTTGATAACCACTCTACCCTTCTGGAATATCTGGTAGGATTAAACCCTGAGGCCAGTGTTTTTCAATAGTTCCAATCTATCCTATTAAGATATATCCAGAAATTCATTTTTGGCCATGTGATGTCATAATTTGGCAGTGGCCACTATAGGTTTGCAAAGTGAAAATTCCAAAAAGACAGTGAGCCAGTAAGTTACCAATCCCAGGAATTGTGGGCTGAAAGAGAGACACATTCACAATCAAACCCTGTTTCCTAAGCTTTTCCTAGAAAAATAATTTAAAGAAACTAAGTATAAGAGTACTTAGTATAAATATTGGAATAAACAGAAAGGCAGAATAGAAATTATATCAGAACTAAAAAACTGACAATTAAATTCTGGCAAATCCCAGCATAAGGGAAACCGCTAATTGATTGTACTATAAGAATGTAATATAAGTAAGAACTTTAAAAAAATATGATTATTTTTCTCTGATTTTCAGTTTGCAAGACATATTAAGAAATCTGAAGGCCAAAAAACACCAAAAGTTGAGTTACAGATTTCCATATATGGCGTAAAGATTCTAGATCCAAAAACAAAGGTAAGAGTCTTCTTATTTTTCTTTACCCCTTAAAATTCTAGCCAAGGCAAGATAACTCATACCATAATGTGGTTACAACTATATCTTTTTTATTGTCATCCAGTAACTTGTTATTTGTTTTAAGATTAATTTTCAAAATAAAATAAAAGTTCAGATATCTAATATGAAATCATTTTTGTTTCTTTCAGAAAATGAATAAATAGGCAGCATTCTATAATTGATTACTAGAATATTCTGAGTCATTATTATTATTATTATTAAAATTTATATACTCCCCTATCTCATTTTCATGTCTACAGTCAAAACACAAGTCAAATCATAAACTTCTACAATTAGAAATAATTTAAAAATTAAAAGCTACCTTTAAAAACAATAGCAAAAAAAATGAGAAGGCTCTATATGCAATTTAACCATTTAATGGGCTCCATACTTCCTTGGGATTCCCAGCTTGATTGCACATTCAACTTTTATTGTAAAAAAACAATGGTGATTAATAGAAGGTAGAGTCCTACAACTGAAAGCAGAGAGTGAACATGTCAACCACTACCTGAAATGCTGCTATAGTCAAAGCTACTTAGAGGGCATTGGTAATAAGCAGTCTCATATTTTTCTAAAAGGGTAACCAAAATACTTATTTTGATTACTTTATAAATGGTTTAACTGGGATGACATAATTTAATATTCTGCAATATTTTACATTTTACATTGAAAAATTATGTCAGTTGGGAAAATATGATGTACAGTAATAACTGTATAATTATTAACGCAGGAATTTTAGTATCATACAGCAAAAGAATCCTGTGAGCAGAGTTGAATCTTCTCAAGTATCTATAACTGAGCCCTGGTGGCGCAGTGGTTAGAAATGCAGTACTGCAGGCTACTTCTGCTGACTGCCGGCTGCCAGCAGTTCAATTCTCATCAGCTCAGGGTTGACACAGCCTTCCATCCTTCCGAGGTCGGTAAAATGAGGACCCAGACTGTTGGGGTCAATATGCTGACTCTGTAAACTACTTAGAGAGGGTTGTAAAGCACTGTGGAGTGGTATATAAGTCTGTGCTATTGCTATTGCTATAATGGAATATGTTGTGTTTTTGTTTCCTTGTCTTATGAAACTGAAAATTAGATCCAGATTACCTTTGCAATTGTATCTAACAGTGCAGCTGGAGTAACATTGACATCCACAGCGTCTGTTGTTTTCATTAGGACAAAAGCAGAGTTGTTACAGTACAATCCTGTTTTCATCAGGCTGACATTTGACTCTCTGTGCAGACACCACTGTGCACAAAAATATATAAATTCAGTATTAAAATCAGTACTGAGGACTACAAGAATAAAACATATTCTGTTTTGTTGTTTATTAAGAGGACTTTGCTTCATCCTGGGCATCTTGAATAAATAGTATTCATCAGTCAAAATGTAATTCCAAGAGGTAATTGCACAGTTGTTATTTGCAGGAAGTCCAGCACAACTGCCAGCTCCACAGGATATCATTTTGTGCTGATGACAAAACTGACAAAAGAATATTCACTTTCATATGCAAAGATTCTGAATCAAATAAACACTTGTGTTATGTCTTTGACAGTGAAAAATGTGTAAGTACACATAGATTTTTAAAGTGGTTGAATTTATTGTTCTTTTATATTGAAAGCCTTCTTCTCCCCCACTGCCTTTTTTGTAAGAGCCCCCTCCCCTTTGCAAAATAGTAACTAAAATAAATTGATGATTGTTCTTTTTTTCTCTATGCTTTCAATTTCTATTGTTCTATGCCAATATAGTTCATACAGATATGTTTGAATATCTGAATCAATCCAATGTTATTGCTAAGAGGTCCAATTCTGCATTGAATGAAAGTGATACATAACTTAAAAGTTGATTGTGCCAGGAAATGTGTCAGGAAACATTCCAAATGCATACACAAATTAGGTTCTTAGTAATCTAAAATGAATTGTGGTAATGTTCTGACGTGTTCCTTAATATTATATAGATGGTGAATTTATATGAGCCTTTATTCTTTGCAACATTACCATTGCATGCTAATGGTAAGACTTGTTTTATTTCAAGGCAGAAGAGATCACTCTAACTATTGGCCAAGCGTTTGACCTTGCTTACAGAAAATTCCTAGAATCAGGAGGAAAGGATGTTGAAACACGAAAACAGATTGCTGGATTACAGAAAAGAGTAAGTTCCATAGTCTGTCTCAGTTTAACAAATGTCTTATGTAGATTTTTTTTTTTTTTTAAAAAAAAGAAACACTGTTATGGCTATTCCATAGATGGAATAAAAATCTTAGTAATTTTATAGGACATTTATTAATGGAATACAAATAATTATAAATCCCATTCATAGTAACTAAGTTATATGTGATTTATTTAAATGGATTCAGCTGAATTATTAAAGTGAAATTTTAAGTGTTATGGCTGTAGAAATACAGCTCCAGAAAATGGGGAACAGAGTAACTTGACAAAAATTAAAACAAAAATGGAAATGAGAAACCAGTGTGGTTTTTCACTGTAGGAAATAGGGGAATAATCTTTTTGCATAAAAGAACAATAATATGGCTAAATTTTAACTTGCACGCAGAATGAATGATATCTTAATTCTTGTCCCTCTGCTGATAGAAACTTCTTCAACTCAGTGGGGGAAGATGTGCTTTGATCATTCTCATTCTTGCCTACAACTTTCTGTATTTTTCCAAATCTGTCTCAGAAGACTAGGGAACTTGAAGAAAAACTGGCAAATGTGTCTTCCTGTCTGAACGTTCCAGCAACAGAAAGGATCCCAATAAGATTAAAAACTGAGGATTTCTGTTAATTTTGCTGAACGTATTTATGTATCTATTTTGTGAACACATTGGTTGTATGGGAAGCCATTGGTGAATAATATATATGTATATATGTGATAAGGCTGTATTATGGAAATAAGTCTGTTACCCATTTCTAGGTAACTTAAAATATACTTCCTTTTAATCAGTGCAGTAAATTAATATTGCATACAAATATGATAAACTTTTGGGACTCTTTTAGTGATGATGATGTAAACACCAGAAATACATCTTGCTTTTGTAGACTTATTTACTAAAGATAAATGCTGTGTTCCATGATGATTTATTTTTATAGGCTTATTCAGTCTAGTTTTGATAATGTATGCCTTTTTCCTTCTTCGGTACTTTTTTCTCAAATTTTTCTGATACATGCATATTTTTTCAGATTAATGAATTAGAAACAGAAAACCTAGAGCTAAAAAACAAGGTGCAAGATTTGGAGAACCAGCTGAGAATAACCCAAGTACATACGTTGCCAGTAAGTACACTGGTTTCTCTTAGCAATTTATGCTTCTATTTTTGATTTTAGTTCTATTTCAGTCATAAACCAGCGTAGAACTATAACATAAGAAAGAGAAATAATAATAATAATAATAATAATAATAATAATAATAATAATAATAATAATAATAGTAAAGTTGGAAGGGACCTTGGAGGTCATCTAGTCCAACCCCCTGCTCGGGCAGGAAACCCTACACCATTTCGGACAAATGGCTGTCCAGTCTCTTCTTAAAAACTTCCAGTGTTGGAGCATTTACTGCTTCTGGAGGCAAGCTGTTCCACTGATTAATTGTTCTCACTGTCAGGAAGTTTCTCCTTAGTTCTAGGTTGCTTCTCTCCTTGATTAGTTTCCACCCGTTGCTTCTTGTCCTGCCTTCAGGTGCTTTGGAAAATAGCTTAATTCCCTCTTCTTTATGGCAGCCCCTGAGATATTGGAATACTGCTATCATGTCCCCCCTTGTCCTTCTCTTCGTTAAACTAGACATACCCAATTCTCGCAACCGTTCCTTATATGTTTTAGCCTCCAGTCCCCTAATCATCTTTGTTGCTCTTCTCTGTACTCTTTCTAGAGTCTCAACATCTTTTTTACATCGTGGTGACCAAAACTGGATGCAGTATTCCAAGTGTGGCCTTACCAAGGCATTGAAGAGTGGTATTAATACTTCGCGTGATCTTGATTCTATCCCTCTGTTAATGCAGCCTAGCACTGTGTTGGCCTTTTTGGGAGCTGCCGCACACTGCTGGCTCATATTTAAGTGATTGTCTACTAGGACTCCGAGGTCCCTCTCACAGTTACTACTATTGAGTAATAGTACTACTTATTATAATAATTATATTATTATATTATAATATATATTATAATATAATATAATATATATTATAATATATATTATATTATAATAATATAATATAATTATAATATAATTATAATATAATATAATATAATATAATATAATTATTATAATAATATTATAATAATATTATAATATAATATATTATAATATATAATATAATATATAATATAATATATAATATATATTATAATAATACTACTTATTAAATTCACTAAATTTATTATGCTGCTCATCTCTCTGTACAAAACGAGTCTGAGTGGCATCTTTATTACTTTATAAATAACTCAAGGTGGCTAAGATACCTAATATTCCTTCTTTCGCCTGTTTACCCCCACAAAACGACAACCTTGTGAGGTGAGTAGGACTGAGAGAAAGCCCAATAAAGATCAAAGATGACTGAACTCTGCAATTAACAATAGTGTTTACTTAACATGGAAAATACAAGAAGAGGCGTTTGTTGAAAAACAAATGAGAGGTTGATTTCCAGAAGTGGAAGAGGTGCCATTCTGATCGCAACAATCAGCAAATAAGATGTTTTGGCGCTATCTCTTATGGAGATACCTTATGGTCTGAAATTCCTATAGATAATAAGAGCTTATGAAACGGAGATGTTCAGAAGATGTTATAGGTGTGTATGATAGCCATAGATGGAAAGAAGAGTTATAAATAAACTCAGTCACAGTTAAGAAGTGAGGCTATTTGCCTTGATGGCAAGTTACGTGGCACTATGTGTATCCCTTGAAGATGCCCTCTATCTTCTTGGTCATCTCCAATTGTAGATGATGGGCAGAAAACAGCTAGGGCTTAATACCCAATAATTGAAAAAAGAGTTTTTCAAAAATATGTCCTGAATTATGGACTCTGTCAGAGACTAATTGATTGCAGAATTTGTTGAATGAATAAGCAAGGAAATTGGGAAAGAGCATGACTGGGAATGACATGGGCAAACTTTAAAAAGAAATCCATAAACACTAGAGCGATGTCCAGATTTTAACACATTGTGGGTCAGTTATTAAATCCAAATTTAGATGAATTTCTTGTGGGCAAAGGACAGAATGCAAGAAGTCAGAGGATTTGCAGATATGAAGCTTGGTAACACAATAAGTGTTGCATGAAGAAACATTACCCTTGATATAAACTTTATCACGAGGTTACACAAGTCACAGAAAAGGAGATCAGTGTTTCTCCAAAATGCCCAGCTTCCATAGGACAGATGCATGTTCTTAAGCATGGATGGATATATAGGTGGGTGGATGGATGGATGGATACATGCATACAAACATACATAGATACCAAGATAAGCGATAGATAGCTCAAATCTTCTACAATTGTAAAGATTTTCGAAATAAATGCTAATAATTGAAGAAATAAGAGCCAATATGCTGGGCTATGTATTTTATTTTTACAAAAAAATGCAATGAGGACTGATTGTGGAGGACTTCTCAATACATTTCTTTAGGCAGACTAATTGTGTATTTAACATTGGTAGCAACACTTTTCTGCAACCTGGGCTCCAAGAATAAGATTCTTTGTGCAGAAATTATGAAAGGCTAGGGTCTATGCCATTACAAAGTCATCAGGATAGTTTGCATAGTTAATATAAGTCACCCAAAGTTTAGGTAAAATGGAAGCAATAAATTGAAGGTGTACCTCTTGAGAGATAATGAATGGGGGATTAAGACTATTAAGCTGTTAGACTCCTGGGAAGATTATATTAATTTCATTATGGTCCCAGTGAATATATGGCTTGCAGTCTGTAGCCAGTCTATTCCCAGAGTTATTGAAACATGTCATTGAAAGACTGTTTAGTTCCAATAGAAGAGAATATATGTATTTCAGAGTTGAATTGTAGAGGCCTCGGTCTCTCTGAACACCAAGCTCAGAGCATCAAGAACTCCACAGACTATTTAGTTTCAGGGATTTCAGTTGGTTGCTGGTGCTGAATTATATAGTTTTGTGCATTTTTCCTAAATATAAAAGCTGGCTATCAGTAGTCTCTTCAGGTTGGACAACTGAGAATTAAGTGAAATTTCCTATGACATGAAAGCCAACCAAGGGGTACAGCAGTAATACAGTGCTATTTTGAGCCTTAGCCTAATAAAAATGATTAAATATGGAATTTAAATTCCGGTTGACCCAGCTTCTGAGCCCTATTGCATCTTGCAAATCTCTTTGGTCTCCCAGCTGCACTAATTCAAATTATGATATAGGGGTGAATATGTGAGAGGGAAAAAAAGAGGATATTGGCATCTTCTCTTCCAGCCCATACTCTGCTGCAATTCCTCAAGCGTTCCAGCAAATTCAAATTGGATTAATGCAGAAAAAGCCTTTGGGATGCATTTCATCTGTGGTTTTCCCTGAACTCATTGCTGAAGCCTTTTTAATTGCTCCCCATATCCGGATATAACAGTATATTCCCGTATCAAAAACCTTAGCTTAGCTTATGAATCCCCCAATTGGAGTCACTGGCTTGATTGAATACTCAGCTCTCACATGTTCCATAACCTTTGTGCCTTTATTCCTATTTGAACTGTTCTGGGTGTTTTTGATTTTTGATTCTGTAATGAGAATCAGATTCTAATTTTGTTGTATCTGGCTGAGAAGAGGAGATACATATTTGGTTGTTTTTTTTTTTTTCTGTTCAGTTGTGTCTGATTCTTGGAGACTGCCTGGACAAGTCTCCAGGCAGTTTTCTTGGCAAAGATTTACACAAGTGATTTGTCATTGCCTCCTTCCTCAGATAGGGACTACAAGTCACAGTGTCCTGGTTTCTAGTCTGATACCTTAACCACTATACTCATCTGGTTGTCATTTGCTTATCTACAATGTGTATTAAAATGCTGATGTGGAAATTTGCAAACATACTTCATACATAAGAGTTATTTTTATCAACACAAGAATCTCACAAAAAAATATCATTTAACTGCTATTACTTTTTAAGAAGCAAACATTGACTTTTAACTGCATTACTTAATGTACAAGCTAATGAAATATGCCCCATGCAAAAGATGGCTACTTTTTGTTAGAACAGAACAGAACAGAATAGAATGACAGAATTGGAAGGAACCTTGGAGGACATCTAGTCCAACCCCCTGATCAGGCAGGAAACTCTATACCATTTCAGACAAATGGTTGTCCAATCTCTTCTTAAAAACTTCCAGTGTTGGAGCATTCACAACTTCTGGAGGGAGGTTGTTTCACTGATTAATTGTTCTGACTGTCAGGAAGTTTCTCCTTAGTTCTAGGTTGCTTCTCTCCTTGATTAGTTTCCATCTATTGCTTCTTGTCTTGCCTTTAGGTGCTTCGGAGAATAGCTTGACTCCCTCTTTTTTGTGGCAGGCCCTGAGATATTGGAACCCTGCTATCATATCGCCCCTAGTCTTTCTCATCATTAAACTAGACATACCCAATTCCAGCAACCGTTCCTTATAATAGGATTGAAAATGAAGGTGGTTTTTTTTTAAGAAAAAATGAACTTCTCCCTTTTCTTTTTACTTTTGATTCCTTAGAATATTTTTTCTCTTTCTGTGATTCCTTTACAGTTGATGCACATGCAGTCTGGTTATGAATACTTCTTGTTACAAAGATCCCTGTCCTTTGCTTGTATAGTTCTTAGATGGTTCTTCCATTACACTCACTCTGTGAGTTCTCATCATTCCAGGCAATCTTCTCAACTATTTACACAATTGCTTTTCAGAGCAGTCTTCCAAAGCCAGTCCATGGACACACAGCATCCCACAACCAAATGTAATCCTGCTGTACAGTCTTTTTAAAATTAGTTTTTTATTGTAATTGTATCAAAGTGCTGCTTTTTGCACAATAGTTGAAAACAGACCAGATACTTTACATATACTCGAAAAAATAGGAACATTTAGGCCTACATCTTAGGCCTAAAATAATACTGTAAAATGTGAAATTGTTCTTAAAATGTTTTTTTTATTGAAAAAGTTTTATTGACAATTAACAAAAAAAAATTAAACCCACAAACCCACCCCCCACCCCCCTAACCCCCCCCCACTTCCCAAAGCCAAGTACAGGGTTATTAAAAACATATTAAAAAATCTAATTAAATTTAACAAATTATACAATAACTAAATTCATACTTAACCCTTAACTCCCTTTA